AAGTACTTCATTTGAAATGTTCATTATAGGGCCCAGCGGCGTGGCCCAGCGGCGTGGCCTAGCGACTAGGGTCCTCACCTTGAACACGCCGGGATCCCATATGGGCGCCGGTTCTAATCCCAGCAGCTCCACTTCCCATCCAGCTTCCTGCTTGTGGCCTGGGAAAGCAGTCGAGGATGGCCCAAAGCCTTGGGACCCTGCACCCATGTGGGAGACCCAGAAGAGGTTCCTGGTTCTTGGCTTCGGATCGGCACAGCACCAGCCATTGCGGTCACTTGGGGAGTGAATCATCAGACAGAATATCTTCCTCTCTGTCTCTCCTCCTCTCTGTGTGTCTGACTTTGTGATAAAAATAAATAAATCTTTAAAAAAAAAAAAAAAAAGAAAGAAATGTTCATTATACAACTGTTACTATCTGATTGATTTACATGATTTTCGAAGTTTAACCTATAAAACCAAACTTCATCAATGTTAGTCAACTTTTTAAAAAGAATTTTGTGTTTAAAAAGAAGGGGGGCAGTACCATGGCCCGCTGTTGTTTTCCCAGGCACATCACAGGGAGCTGGATAGGAAGTGGAGCAGCCAGTACACAAAACAGCACCCCTGGCATGCCAGCATCATGAGTGCAGGCCTTGCCCACTGTGCCAAAATGTCAGCCCCCGTTATTTGAGATTTTACAGCCACAAGCTTGGATTCACTTTCAGACTTTCCCAAGCCTGGATTTGATCCTGGCTTGGAGGCCTTTTTGATCTTAGCACCATTTTCCATCTGGGCAGACAGAATATTCGGAAGCACCAGGTCCTGGCTTGTTTGTCCTCATTGCCCCTCGCCTCTGCTGGCCGCTCTCCCCTCCCGTCACACAGCAGGAACCAGAAGCGCGCGGCTCACCTTGCAGTCGTCACTCAGAAACCTCATTAAGTAGATGACTCAGCTCACTGAATAGATTTCCCACTTTCCACGTTACTGCAGGAAACATGTTGCTAATTATTTCTGCTACTGCATAGCAAAGATCTCTTTTCTTCTGGATTCTGACAAGATTGGTCTTATTTTTCCCTTGAACCTAACAGTCTCTTCAGTCCAAAAATCGGTGAAGGCAGCAGTTTGAAACAGAAAGAAAACTGAGTGCCTGGTGCAGTAGCCTAGCAGCCAAAGTCCTCGCCTTATATGCCCCTGGATCCTTTATGGGCGCCAGTTCATGTCCCAGCAGCCCCGCTTCCCATCCAGCTCCCTGCCTGTGACCCGGGAAAGCAGTCGAGGACGGCCCAAAGCCTTGGGACCCTGCACCTGCGTGGGAGACCCAGAAGAGGCTCCAGGCTCCTGGCTCCTGGCTTCAGATCAGCTCAGCTCTGGCTGTTGCAGCCATTTGCAGAGGGAACCGGTGGATGGAAGATCTTCCTCTCTGTCTCAACTTCTCTCTGTCAATCTGTCTTTCCAATAAAAACAAACAAATCTTTTAAAAAGGAAGGAAAAAAAAACTGAGGCATCTTTCCGATGTAGTCATTCGTTATCCCTCCACTGTACACCGTCCTTATCCAGAAGTATTGAATGGAAAACTCCAGAAATAAATATCTTGCTTTTAAATTTCACACCAAAGTTGTGTGGTGTAATTTCACATCCTCTGGCTTCCTCCTGCCTTTGAGACAGAGTATCAGCTTCCCCGGTACAGTTACACTGTCCACGCGACCCCCAGCGGTCACTTTGCATGTCTCAGCTATCACATATGTAGCGTAGTATGTATGTATATATATATATATCATTCAACACTATGCCCGATTCCTGGGATTTACTAAAGACCTTGGAATGTGTGTGCAAGTGAGCATGAATCTGTGTGAATGTGTGTGTGTGTGTGTGTGTGTGTGTGTGTGTGTGTGTGTGTGTGTGATCAGCCTGAATCCTTTGACCAGAAGCGCAGGCATGAGGTTTTGGACCTCATAAGTAAGGTGCAATTTCATTCATTCAAGCCTGCCCTTACACTCTCGACCTGGCTCTGGAAGCCAGCTGGACGGGGCTCACCAGAATATAATGAGCTGCTCTTGTCTCAGTCACCTCCCGTGAGTGCTTGAAACACTTCAGGTACTCCAAGATCCACAGCGCTACTCAAAGAAAGGGCCACTTGAAACCACACACATTTGGGGAAGATCGTTTCAGTGTGTTTCTCTTATCTGTGTTTAATCGCATTATCTGCCAGTCAAATGAGTGGATTAGGTGAGCCATCAAGTGGCCTTTCTATGGAATGCAGTGCGCAGGAGGCTCCACCATTCCCAGCAAAATGAGAACGAGGAGGACCTTGTCGTCGTGTGGACTCAATGCCTACAATTCTGTCATTATTAGTTCTCACCTGTTGATGTCAAGGATGTTTTAGGCAAAACTGGATACATATATGCGGGTTCAAGCGGAGTCTTGTTTTGCTTTGTGCTTGCTGTTCTTTATCTTTCTCAAAAAAAGTCAAAGATGCAGGACAGCATTGTGGCATAACAGGTTAAGCTGCCACCTGCAATACTAACACCCAAATGGACACAGTTCAAGTCCCAGCTCCTCCACCCCGCATCCAGCTCCTACTAACGTGCTTGGGGGAGCAGCACAAGATGGTCCTAGGCCTTGCATCCCCCAGCTACGTGGAAGACCCAGAGGAAGCTCCTGAGTCCTGGCTTCTGGCTTCTGCCAGTCCTGGCCCCGCCTCGGTGGCCAGTTGTGGGGTGAAGCAGCAGATGGAAGATCTCTCCCTGTAATTCTGCCATTAAAACAAATAAAATTAATCTTTTTAAAAATAAGATTCTTGACCTTATATTACCATTCTTAATTATTATTTTACAATTCCATGACATGTACATGTCTGGGAGCTCTAGCCATCGTGGAGAGAACTTCTTCAGTCATGGAGGGCACGTGGTTGGGCAGCAGTCGATAAAACAGTGGAGACAACCGTTGGTCAGCCCTCATTCTCCTTCAACCAGGCCTTGCCTTCTCAGTCTGTTCAAAGCCTCCTTGTCCTTGATCCCTTCAGCTCCATCTTAACCTCCATTCTCACTCCCTAGCACCTGCACGCTGCCCTGTTCTCGAGACTCTACTCTCCATGGCCCCTTGTAGGGACCACGCACATCGCCAGCTGTAGGGACCACACACACCGCCAGCTGTGGACCACGCACACCGCCAGCTGTAGGGACCACACACATCGCCAGCTGTGGACCACACACATCGCCAGCTGTAGGGACCACACACATCGCCAGCTGTAGGGACCACGCACACCGCCAGCTGTGGACCACGCACACCGCCAGCTGTAGGGACCACACACATCGCCAGCTGTGGACCACGCACACCGCCAGCTGTGGACCACGCACACCGCCAGCTGTAGGGACCACGCACATCGCCAGCTGTGGACCACGCACACCGCCAGCTGTGGACCACACACACCGCCAGCTGTGGACCACACACATCGCCAGCTGTAGGGACCACGCACATCGCCAGCTGTGGACCACGCACATTGCCAGCTGTAGGGACCACGCACACCGCCAGCTGTGGACCACGCACACCGCCAGCTGTAGGGACCACACACATCGCCAGCTGTGGACCACGCACACCGCCAGCTGTGGACCACGCACATCGCCAGCTGTAGGGACCACGCACATCGCCAGCTGTGGACCACGCACATCGCCAGCTGTGGACCACGCACACCGCCAGCTGTGGACCACGCACACCGCCAGCTGTAGGGACCACACACATCGCCAGCTGTGGACCACGCACACCGCCAGCTGTGGACCACGCACACCGCCAGCTGTAGGGACCACGCACATCGCCAGCTGTGGACCACACACATCGCCAGCTGTGGACCACGCACACCGCCAGCTGTGGACCACACACATCGCCAGCTGTAGGGAGCACACACATCGCCAGCTGTAGGGACCACACACATCGCCAGCTGTAGGGAGCACACACATTGCCCATGTAGGGACCACACACCCTCCACTCCATCACTTCCCAGTTCTCTCCTCAGCACACACAAACCCCTCAGGTCGCCAGGATGCTGGGATCTGACACAGGTGCTAGGACGGCTGAATGTAAGAAGTTCAATTCCACCACCAGGAGGTGGTGGGCCAGTGAACAACACCCTTCCCCGGGGTCAAGCAGGGTCTTGGCCCAGCAGGTGCAAAGATCCTGACAGCGGGAATTACCTCCCCCGTGCGCGTGGTCTGATTCCTCACGGAGTCTGAGGAACCACGAACCAGTTTGTGAGGATGCTATACCAGTTACAGGAACTAACAAGCTGTAATGTCCTACCCTGGGGGCCGCAGGGGACACTGACCTCTCTCCACGGAGCAGGTTAGCCATTGCTTCACAGCTGTCCCTGCTAGCAGATGCTGTCGGCTCAACCCCCTACACAGCAGAATCTCCTAACTTCTTAGACAATGAGGTGAATGTAAATGGAAGACAATGAAGTGACTGAGTCCATGTTGACGGAAATAAAAGACCACTCTTGCAGCATCACAGAAGGGGTGCAGAGAGGAACGGATGGGGGGTGAGGGTTCCCGGGTGCCGGGCTCAGAGGCTGAGGGGGCCTCCGCAGGATGTCCTACTCTTTAAGTGTCACGTGACGATGCGGAGGGTCCTGGAAAGGGAGAGGGCATGGAGGAGGGTAGGGAAAACAGGAGGGGAGCTGAGGAAAGTAGTGAAGGCTGGACATGGACCCTGCCGGGAAGAGAAACATGGAGGCCCGCCGGGAACTCAGGGCGGCACAGCCGGGCAGCAGGGGAGGTCCCACTCTGTCACCAGGACGAGCAGATGCTCTCGACAAGAAGCAGGGTCTTGCACTGTGTACGATGAAAAATCAGACTCCCTGCCCTGGCATGGCTGGGAAAAGCATCCCCGCGAGAAATCTCAAATGCTCAAGTGAATCACGGTTAGAGGGCTCGCCCTGTGGCCCAACTGTAAGCGAACAGAAAACCAAGACCAATGATTTCTCTTCTTGTTTCCCCTTCGTCCCCTCCTTTTAAACAAAAGTCACAGAATTCTTTTTTTCTGAGTATAACCCACACTAAGCAGTCTTGCAGCGCCACCTGGTGGATCGTCCCAGTATCAGCCTTCAACTCCCTTAAAGGAAGGAAGAGCTGTAACAGGCAAAGGAAACATTCATTTAGCCATTGTGTTCGTGCTGAAAACACTGCAACAGGCAACATGACTGTGAGTATATGAACTCAAGTTTCTTCTGCTCTAATAAAAATGTAGTTATTCATTGAGTAAGTAAAAGCCTGTATTGAAAGTAAATTTAACAAGAACTAAAAGTTGTGATTCCTCTTAGAAGACAGCATAATGTCATCTAAACAGAAGTGAGAAAATCTAGTTCATTTAGCTTGTTTTTCTTCTGGGCTTCATTTCATCTCCTCTGGTCCCCTCTCCGTAAAAATGTGAATCTGACCAAGCAATACCATAACCCACATCCACAAAGGTGCCAGCCAGGGAAGCAGCTGTGGTGTAGGGAAAGAAACAAAATTTGAGCCAGCAGTCCGGAACGTGAACTATGTGGGGCCATCCGAATTCAAACACATCTTTTAGCTGAAATGTGAACATTATAATTGTGTTTGTTTATGGAGCACAAAGTGATGTCATAGGTACACAATGGAAAATAACCGAGAACAACCAACTAAATCAAGTTAATGAAGAAGTAAGCCAAATACTTATTATGTATGTAGTAAGAATATCTGAGATTTGCTCTCATCATTTTGAAAATATTAAGTCTATTAACCATGTGATGGCTCAATTGGCTAATTCTCCCCTTGCTGGCACCAGCATCCTATGCACTGGTTCATGTCCCAGCTGCTCCACTTCCCATCCAGCTCCCTGCTTGTGGCCTGGGAAAGCAGTCGAGGATGGCCCAAGGCTTGGGTCCCTGCACCCACGTGGGAGACCAGGAAGAGGCTCCTGCCTTCAGATTGCCTCAGCTCTGGCCATTGTGGTCATTTGGGGAATGAACCAGCAGGTGAAAGATCTTTGTCTCTCCTTGTCTCTGTAAGTCTGTCTTTCCAATAAAATTAATTAATCTTTTAAAATATGTATTAATCATAATCGCCATGCTGTGCAGTAATCTCCAAAGTCTTATATTCCTCCTAACTGAAACTTTGAAACTTGCACCCAGCGCAGGTGTTGCGACAGCAGCGGTTTCTGCACCTGTAACCCAGCATCTGCTCAGGTGTCCATCACGCTTCCTGCCAGTGTGCCTCCTGGGAGGAAGGAGGCGATGGATCATGTGGCTTGGGTCCCTGCCACCACAAATGACAGAATGTGAGGCCACTGGCTTTGGCCTGACCCAACCTAGGCTGTTCTGGTATTCGAGAAGTGAAACCTGAAGAAGGTAGGTGTCTCCTAATATTGTTGTTAATATTAAAGATTGATTGAAAGTCAGAGAGGAGGAGAGAGAATGAGTGATGCTGCATCAGCTGGCTCACTCCCCAGATGGCCACAGTGGCTGCGGATAAGCCATGTCAAAGCCAGGAGTCAGGAGCTTCTTCTGAGTCTCCCATGTGGCAAACACGGGCCCAAGCACTCCAGCCATCTTCTGCTGCTTTTCCCAGGCCACTGTGTGGAAGCTGGATCACAAATGGCGTTCCCATATGGATTTCCAGCAACACAGGCGGTACCTTTGCTGGCTGTGCGACAACACTGGCTCCAAAGGTGCTCCTGTCCAGTGCTCCTCCTCTTCCCCTTCCTCCTCCTCCTCTTCCTCAACCTTCTTCTCCTCTCTCTCTCTTTCTCTCTCTCCCTCCCTCCCTCCCTCCCCCCCTTTCTCCAATTTAAACAATAAAATAAGAACAGTATTGACATACACATAGATGAGCCATACTTGGAAGGCTCACGCCACGTAAGAATGCCTGGGCTTGCATCGTGCCTGCTTCTGGTCCAATGCCATGATAACTCACTTGGGAAGCAGCAGATCAGGGTCCACATGGGAGACCTGGATGCAGCTCCTGGCCCCTCGCTTTAGACCAACCATCTCCCTGTGCCACACCCATTCTGCTCTGCTTCTGGGTGTTCAACTATTTTAGATTCTACATGTAAGAGAGACCACAATTACTTGTCTTTCTGAGCCTGACTTATCTCACATGGCATATTTTGCTAAAGGTCCATCCATGTTGGGCAAATAGCAGCATTTCCTTCCTTCCTGTAAACCACCTTTTGTGAATTCATTCATCTGCTGATGGCATGAGCAAGTCTTTTCATCTCCCTGGGATTCTGTTTCCTCACTAGTAATAAAAGGGAAATAAAATTGCTTACCTTTCAAGACAGTTACAAGGATTAAACAAGCCCATACTGTGGGAAGTGCATTTTATGTAAGGAGCTCTTCAGGCGTTGGCTGGTGCATACGAGCCTGTAAAAAGCAGGCGCTCCCTACAAGAAGAAGAAGTACACACCTCTCTCGGGCGAGACATCACTGCCCAGAGAAGTGAGGGGAAGCCGCTGTGGCTGCAACGGCCTCACCAGACTCATTCTCCGGGGTGACCAAATGCCTGTGTTCTTGTTTCTCTCTTTCTCTCCCTCTTAAATAAATTAAATGAATAAAATCTTAGAAAATAGAGAACTAGGGCCCGGCGCGGTGGCCTACCAACCAAAGTCCTTGCCTTGAACATGCCAGGATCCCATATGGGCACTGGTTCTAATCCCAGCAGTTCCACTTCCCATCCAGCTCCTTCCTGACTTCAGATCTGGCTCAGCTCTGCCCATTGTAGCTTTCTCTCTGTCTCTCCCCCTCCTGTCTTCCCTTTAATGGAAAGTATACCTGAGTTTCCAATTACAAAAATAAAATACATAAATCTTTAAAAACAAACAAACAAAAAAGCTCCTGGTTCCTGCTTTTAGACCAACCCAGTTCTAGCCATTACACTACTGAGGACATTTGGGAAATGAAGCAGCGGATGGAAAATCTCTCTTTCTATCCCTCTCTATAAATCTGTCTTTCAAAGAAAAAAAATGAATAAATCCTTTTAAAAAATTATACAAACTCTATGGGGTGGTCTCATTTCTCTCTGACAAAAACCACCAGACATCCAGTGGCTCAAAAGTCTGGATCCACAGAGGTGAGGAAACTTTTATCTGCCATACAAAATGATCAACTTAAAAACCCACCAGCTCCAGATGCATTGGCTTCCAAGTTCGCCCGTGGCTGCCATGGCAGAGCCAGGCTGACCTGGGGGCTCCTGATGGTCCACGGGCCAGACATCGCCCAACCCTGAGAGAGAAGCCGCCTCTGTTTCAACACAGGCCCATGTCATGGGGGCGGCACAGCGGCCAAGGTGAGGTGGATGAGTGACAATGAAGGAGAAGCAGGAAGGGTCTACTCTCACATCACACCCTGGCACGTGCAGGCAAGAAGGCAGTGACAGACTCGCCTCATACCTGGCAGCTGACCGCTCTGGGGACTGGATGAGAAACTGACTCTTCCAGGGGGAGGTGGCTGCAGCAGCTTTGTGGCTCCCAGTTCAGTTCAGCATAGCTCCACTCCCTCCTGCATGTCTGGCTCAGAGATGCGCAGATAAGCAAAGCACGGCCCTCGGCTTGCCAGAACCAATCGCCTAGTGGGGAAAATAGGTGCCCCGAGTAATACAGAGCACGTAGTGTGTTAAGACCATGCTCAGGATGCCGCGAGAGCATCCTAAAAGGACAGGGTTACCTGAAGGAGCTAACTCGAGGGGTTTTTAAGAATGAACAACAGGGAGGACATTTGGCCTAGAGGTTAAAACACCAGTTCCATTCCAGACTCCTGGATCCAGTTTCCTGCTAATGTAGACACTGGGAGAAGTAGAGAAAACTTTACTTAATTGTGTTCTTGGAAACCTGCTTGGGAGGTTTAGACTGAGTTCTGATTCCAAACATCATAGGCCTTTGGGGAGTGAAAAAGAGGATGAGATTCTCTCTCTCTCTCCATATCTCAAATAAATTAATTAGAAGTTTTTAAGAAAGCAAGAAATTATTGGTTGAAGAAAGTAAGAAATGTATGCAGACAAGGACAAGTGTAAGCAAAGTGGCTAAGCATGGAGCGCATGGGGGGCTAGAAACCTGAGAGCTCATGGGTCAGGAAGGAGCAAAGCAGGAGGGGCAAGGAGAGAGATGGGGGGAAGGAGAGGGACAGAGCAGTCAGGCTCCACACACCTAATTAAAAACCACCTTCCTGGGTTCTATCTACAAGAAGCCAAACAGACCATAAATGGAAATGTGACTTACGTATGTTGTTCCAAATAGGGAAAGGGGTCACTCTCTTCTCTCTGCTGTGAATCCAGTCCTGTCGATCTTACACAGCGGACATGTACTCAGAGAGCCAATGTGACCTGTCAGTATCAAGAAAATGGGCTTGGGTAGATTCATACAAAGTACCAGGAAGGGGGCCCAGAGCAATAGCCCAGTGGCTAAAGTCCTCGCCTTGCACGCACCAGGATCCCATACAGGTGCCAATTCTAATCCCGACAGCCCCTCTTCCCATCCAGTTCCCTGCTTGTGGCCTGGGAAAGCAGTTGAGGACGACCCAAAGCCTTGGGACTCTGCACCCGCGTGGTTAACCCGGAAGAGCTCCTGGCTCCTGCTTTCAGATAGCCACAGCTCCAGCCATTGCAGCCATTTGCAGAGTGACTCATCAGACGGAAGATATATCTCTCTGTCTCTCCTCCTCTCTGTATATCTGACTTTCCAATAAAAAATTTCATATAAATCTTGAAAAAAAAAAAAAAAGGAAAGAGAAGAATGGATTTTAGGACCTGGCACAGTAGCCTAGTGGCTACAGTCCTCTCCTTGCATGTTCCGGGATCCCATATGGGTGCTGGTTCATATCCCCGCTGCTCCACTTCCCTTCCAGCTCCCTGTGTGTGGCCTGGGAAGACAGCGGAGAATGGCTCAAAACTTGGAACCCTTTGCTGGTGTGGAAGATCTGGAAAAGCTCCTGGCTTCTGCCTTAGGATCAGCTCAGCTCCATCCATTGTGGCCAGGAATGAACCAGCGATGGAAGAGCTTTACCTCTGTCTCTTGTTCTCTTTGTAAATCTGACTTTCAATAAATAAAGAAATAAATCTCCCTTTTTTTTAATTGAACATGGGCCCGGTGCAATAGTGTAGTGGTTAAAGTCCTTGCCTTGCATGTGTTGGGATCCCATATGGGTGCTGGTTCTAATCCCGGCAGCTCCACTTCCCATCCAGCTCCCTGCTTGTGGCCTGGGAAAGCAGTCGAGGACGGCCCAAAGCCCTGGGACCCTGCACCTGCGTGGGAGACCCAGAGGAAGCTCCTTTGCAATAGAGGATGGCCCAAAGCTTTGGGACTCTGCAATCTTGTGTGAGATCCAGATGGAAACTCCTCTTTCTCTCCATGCTTCCTCCTCTCTGTTGCTCTCTCTCTCTCTCTCTCTCTCTCTCTCTCTCTCTCTGTCTCAAATAATAAGCAAACATTTAAAGATACACAAATAAAGTGAAAAAGGAATTGAGACAGTCCAAGCCTACTAAAATGTTTCCCAGGAAACCACATCTTCAACTGCCCAGCTATTTCCTAATTGATTGAAAGACCACCAACACTGAAAATTTTCCCCGCAGGTTCCTGCATAGACAAGCAGGAGTCAGCAAATGCTTAAAAGACCAGATTCTTCTGGAAACCTCATTGTTTTCTCTCTCTTCCCCTCTCTCTCCCCTCTCTCTTCTCTCTCTCTTTCTCCCCTCTCTCTCCCCTCTCTCCCCCCTCTCTCCCCTCTCTCCTCTCTCTCTCTCTCCCCTCTCTCCTCTTCCCTCTCTCTCCCCTCCCCTCTCTCCCCTCTCTCCCCTCTCTCCTCTCTCTCTCTCTCTCTCTCTCTCCAAGAGACACTCTATCTCCTGCCCCCCTTCCAGGAAGTGCGGTTCCCTTCCCTCTTCTTTCTGTGTTCATCTGGTCACTTTACACATAAATATTCTCTGTCTACAACGGACTCCGGCTATTTATGTCTATATCAAGCTTTGCCGGTAACAGGCAAATATTTTGTCTAAACAGATGTTGGACGCGGCCCAAGGACTTGCCTCTCTAGCCAGCTCCTAGGTTATGCTGATTGGACAGGTCCCTGCAGCACACAAACAGCAAGGTAGGCAGAGATCAGACCAAAGACAACAGCATTCTGGCATACCTATGGGTGCATGATGCTGGAAGTGCTGACATGAAAGGAGCTGTTGACGAGAATCAGCCTCGGGTGTTGACCCATTTAGGCAGGAGGGCTAGGGAGAGGCACGAGGGACAGCTGCCTTAAGGCTTTAAGCCCTGAGAACAGCGAGGGAAGTCGGCATTTTTAGCCGAGGTAGAGCAGAAAAAGGAGATGTCCTGGAAGAAAAATAAGGAACGCTAGCAGCAACCTGTTAGGGATACTCACGGGCTCTGTACAAAGTAGCATGTAGGGGCCCCTTGCTCCAAAAAAAAAAAAAAAAAAAATTGCAACAAAGGAGTAGCACAGTATTCTATTCACACAGTATTCTATCACAGCAACTCTGATCTGGTAGCTGCGGAGCCTCCGTGCTGCAGCTGGGAGCCACCTGAGGGCTGGACGTGGGACTCCCTTCCCAGTTCCCTCAGCAGGCTTCACAGAACACCCAAGCACAGCTTAGATTTTTTTCTCCAAGACCGGGAGCAGGGTCGATGTCTGACTCACCTGCCTTGTCCCTGCCACCATTGCGTCCTGCCAGAGCAGAGTGGTGCTGTGTGAACAATATCAGTCTCAACCCCTCATTCCTGCCTCTCCCCAGATTTGTGGGCCTCTCCCTGATTGGTCACCCAGATAACAGGCTATAAACAGAGTTCATAGCCTGCAGTGCTCAGATCATTCCCATACAGTTATGTTTAGTGGAGTGCTTTACGGGACAAGTCAGAAAATGCCTGGCCCATCCCTGAGATTGGCACCTGCTCTGTGCTGGGTCCTTTGACGCCTATCGGTTCCCTGCAATTGCTTATGAGTTGTGTACAACCGCTAACCTGCACACTCTCAGCCAGGCCCTTAAATCCTAATAAAGTGCTTATTTCCAGGACCTGAGTAGGAGCAAACGTTTGACCAGCGCGTGCTTCCAAGTGCCTGTAATCACTTTCAACACAAAGAAACTGAAAAAGCAAGATGATGAAAATAATGCACCAAACCACAGCCTACAAAATTCTATCGACTCTTACTGGTTGCAACCTCCTACCTCTGGTCCTTAAATTGTAGGGAAATAGTGAAACGTTAGACATCGCATTCTGAGATTGCACCCAAGGAAGAAGGAAAGCAATAGTTATTGTGAGACTATGTGATAGGTACTTCATATATTAAATAAATAAAAAAAAATAGAGCAATATGCCATGAAGAGACTCAGTGAAGCCCGACGCTCACTAATGCTGCGACTCTGTCATCTCACCTGCTGAATGGATGCAATGATGTGATACTTTTCTCAGGACGTCGATGAACTGATTTAGCAGGAAATAGGTTATTACAGCAAAATCACTGGAAACTAGCACTGGATTTCCATCGTGAGTAATCTACCTTCATTTGCACGACAACCCTGTGAGAGACTCAAGTGTGTGCACTTCAAAACATGTTGAATACAGACACGTCATTCTACTTCCCAGGAGCTTTTGGAAGTACCTCTTATCCTGTAACTGAAGTTCGGAGAGGTGAAGAAGAGGTGAAGTATTTTGCTCTCTCTCTCTCTCTTACATTTTCTCCTCTTCCTCTTTCCTCTTTTCTCTGTAACTCTGTCCTTCAGATAATCTTTTATAAAAATGTATTTCTTTCATTTAAAAAGCAAAGTTACAGACAGAGAAAGATCTTCCCTATGCTAGTTCACTCCCCAAGTGGCCATAATAGCTAGAGCCGAGTTGCTCCAAAGCCAAGAGCCACGGTCTTCTTCTGGGTCTTCCCCTTGGGTGCAGGATCCCATGGCTTTGAACCATTCTCTATTGCTTTCCCAAGCCACAGGAAGGGAGCTGGATGGGAAATGAACCAATTAAGAACTGCCAGTGGGCCCGGCGCGGTGGCGCAAGTGGTTAAGGTCCTCGCCTAGCACGCCCGGGATCCCGTATGGGCACCGGTTCTAATCCCGGCAGCCCCGCTTCCCTTCCAGCTCCCTGCCTGTGGCCTGGGAAGGCAGTCGAGGACAGCCCAAAGCTTTGGGAACCTGCACCCACGTGGGAGACCCGGAAGAGGCTCCTGGCTTCGGATCGGCATAGTATCGGCCCGTTGCGCTCACTTGGGGAGTGAATCATCGGACGGAAGATCTTCCTCTCTGTCTCTCCTCTCTGTATATCTGCCTTTCCAATGAAAAAATAATAAAAATAAATCTTTAAAAAAAAAAAAAAAGAACTGCCAGTGCCACAGGGCAGAGGATTGGCCTGCTGTACCATCATGCCACTGTGCAGTGCAGGTCTCTTCAAATAATTAAGAAAAAAAAAGTTCTCCTCCACCTCCAACTCCTCTCTGTGTAACTCAACTGTTCAAGTAAATACAGAAACCAAACAGAATCAGCCACAGGCACCCAAATATTTCAGTTCTTGAAAATGAAGGGCGGGGAGCATGAAGACAATGAAGAGGTGCTGTGTCTAAAGGGAATTAAAAATCAGGCATAGATAGACCCACCCTGGAGGTTTTTATCACCACCCTGTGGTGACAGCTGTAAACAGTAGAGTGATAAAGTACTCCTGCTTGTGGAAGAAACTGCCTTTCTCACACCGCCCTTTTCAGGCATGGTTCCCAGGCTCGGAGATTTTCATACGGGATGTGGGCCACCTTCCTTCTGACAGAGTACAAAGGCGCATATGATCGCTGGCTTTCCTCCAGCCTGTTTGCTTGGGTAGTTCTCCATCATAGCACCCTGCCTGTATACATTTTTTGATTTATTGAACTCAAACTTGAGCACCACAATGTCCCCAGCTCTTCCAGGTCCTTAGGATGCCATGTGCCAGCTAATTCAGCAAAATCTGTTTTTGCAAGTTTTATCCTAGTTTTATTATGTTTCACTGAAAAGCTCCTGCACACCATAATCTGAGTTTAAGCACATTATCTCCTCACAGACTAATTCCAAATGCTTCACTTTTACAAATTAAAAAAAAAAAAAAAAGTAGGGTCCAGGATAGTTGATCATTCTTGTTGTGAGAAGGGACCCTGAGACTGACCCCACCATTCTGACTTGGGGCCACCTTGAAAGTCATATTCAGAACTACCTTAAACTCCCTAGGTCTCGGTCCCCTTGAATACCTGTTTACCCAGAACTACCGTAAATCTCCTTGGTCTCAGCCCTTTTAAGGACCACCTGCCTAAGTTTAGTGACCTTCAGGTTTAAACTATGCATTCCATCAGTCTCCTGAGGCATTTACTCCTGGTGTCCACCTATAGCCACATCTGCCAATCCCTGACCCAATACTCCCCACACCCACCTCTAGGCTATAAAGGTGCCTCTTCCCTTTGTTCTCTCTCTCTTCTCATGCTCTCTGTCTTTTTCTGTTCTGTCTCTCTGCTCCCACTTTCTCCCCACCCCGTGGGCTACTCCCCCTGCTGAAATAAAGACCTCCTTGAGTGACTTGTTGCATCTGGCTTTTGGGTTTATGTTGAAAAAGCTAGCATTTGTAATGGCACAGCTAAGGCAAAAATTCACTTGAGACTTTGGCATTGCACCTTCGTGGTTCCACAGAGTACTTCCAACACAGCTGCTACAGGATAAGCAAGAAGAGGCAGTAGGCATTTGGTAGACTAGACATTCCCATGTCACAATGCATGAGATCCAATCCCAGCTCCTCTTCAGCTTCCAGCTAAGGCTCACCCTGGGAGACGAAAGGTCTGTCTGATTCCAAATCCAGAATTCTTGCCAGTATCCCCATTTTCTCTAGACACAGCAAAGAGAATAAGCATTGGAATGTCCCCTTGACAGAAATGTAGACAAACAGCGAAACTAAAACTCAATCACCACAACATCTGTTCACAGACATTAACACAGATGGCATGGTACAGGCACGTTGGACCACCAGAATCCAAAACCTCAACAGCCCATCCATTATAGATCTTCTCCATTCTAGATCTGTCCTCTGTGTGACCCTAGCGAGAAGCCAGGAGTGCAAGCCAGCTCAGCGGAGGGAGTCTGAGAGCCCTAAATGGCACCGTGAAAGCCCAGCTCAAAGGATCAGCAAATGTTTATATTAACGTCCATACTGAGTGTGTATCTTCCACGTTGTAGCATTCAACCCCATCCCCTCCCACTCCAGCCACCTGCCTGTCACGTTAAAAACAATCCCATGACAAACATGCCTATTCTTAAGAGGCGAAGAAGCAAGGATTCACAGACCACCTGAATGTAGTAATCAGTTCGCAGTATTCCAAGATACTCGGCTCACCAATTCAAGTGTGCCTACAGGACAACAGAGCCACGGAAGAGCATAGCAAAAACCAAGATTGCGCTCAGAAATGAAACACCTGGGCATGTACAGTTGTCACAATGCCAGGTCACAACAACACAGGCTGCTTGCTTCATGTGGAAATGAAGCACGATTCCTAAGGCTTTGAGAAAATTAACACTGGTGGCTATGGGGTGGTGGTTGTTGTTTTCTTTTCCAGAGCCACTGATAGGTGAGAAATGTAACCAGAATGCCTTAAAGCTGCCATGTATGCCAACAAGGCAAAGGAGCAGCCGACCCTTGATGCTGAGTGATTCCTGAGCTAGCTCCCTGCAGCAGAAGGGTAGCACCCTGAGGCCTCTGAGCACAGCCCAGGGCAGCCCAAGCCCCAGTCTTCTGCTGCAGGCGCCCCACCCCATTCCTCCCCCTTTGACTCAGCCTCCATAATGCCATTCCTGGGATTCTACAGGCACTTAATAAATATTTGTGGAACCAATGAATGAAACAACCTTTATCTCATGAGATTATTTTTTAAACATTATATTTCAGAATAGTTTACAATGCAAAGTTTCATACACCCTTCACCCCACTTGCCCATTATTGACACTTCCTATGAGTCTGTCACAATGAATAAGCCACATCTAGCTTCCCCTAATTTTTTTTTTAAAAAATCCAATTTCCTTGTTATCTCTCCCAGCCTCCAGTCATCAGCGTTCTGCATTCAGATGGAGTTGTCCCCTTCTCTCTAATCTACAGCTCTGCCTTGAGCTTGCCTGGATCGTTCACACGTCTTTAAGCACCTACATGTGCACAGTGCCAGTCTCCAGGTGAACCAGCAGCCAGTTCCCTCTCCTGGTGACGTCAGCAGGAAGAGCCTGCGTGCCTGGAGACCCTTCTCTCCCTGGCCCGTTCTGGCTCCACCAGTCAGTGAGTTTCTTCAGGAAAGCGGTCACCTTTGGAGCTGCAGTGCCTTCCACACTGCCCAGTGTGGGTAGATTTGATGTTTACTGAATAAACAAATGGATGCAAGTGATTCCTGAAGCCTTTATCAGGAACACAGAAAACAAAAAATGTCAAGGCTACTTGGGACATCTACAAGTCTGAAAAAGTCAGTGTCACCTTCTCTTCATGTGATTTTGATTTCATTCATAAACTTCCACCAGAATAGTTACTGGGTTAAGGACTATTTCTGTGAGATTTTCTTTCCAGATTCACTTACTTCTTTCAAGGTAAAAGAAAAACTACAAACATTAATAATGCAATACGCTGTGGAATGGTTAAATTTGGCTACCTAAAATATACACTCATAGTTGCCATTTTGTAGTAAGAGCATTTAACATCCACTCTTAGCAGTTTTTAAAAAATCATTTTTATTTTTATTTAAATGGTACAGTGACAAACAGGAGAAGCAACAGAGGGAAAGGGAGAGAGAATCTTTCATTTGCTGGTTCACTCCCCAAATGACTGCATCAGCAGTGTGAGGTCAGACGGAAGCCAGAGGCCCAGAACCCTACCTGTTCTTCCCTGTGGGTGGCAGGAGCCTGTACACTTGAGTCATCATCCATGGCCTTCTCAGGCACATTGGCAGGAAGCTGGATCACAAGCAGAGTAGCTGACTCAAACCAAAGCATTGCCTTGACTGGGAGTATCGCAGACTTAACTCACTGTACCGCAATGCTGGCCCCAGTGTTTGTGAACAATAAAAGATCTCTTATTAACTGTACATGCTGTTCAATAGATCACTGGAACTTCTCCCTCCTTTCCAACTGTAACTTACATCCTTTAGCCAGCATCCATTTGATGTCACAGGTAAAGGGAGGCATTTTTCTGCCCACCCACAACTGGCAGAATCTGCTGTGTGATCCCAGAGCATAAGCTACGTCCCCAGGGCTCTGTCTCTCCCACGTCCCCAGCTCAGCTGATCTCATCTTGGCTTTACTTTTCCTTTTTCCTTTTTTTAATTTTATTTTTATTTGAAAGATAGATTATACACAGAGAGAAGCAGAGACAGAGAGACTGTCCATCTACCGCTTTACTCCCTAAATGGCCACAATGGCCAAAGCTGAGCTGATCTGAAGCCAGGAGCTTCACCCAATGAGTGAAGACGCCCAAGGGCTTATCTATCCCCTGCTGCTTCCCAAGGCCTTAAGTAAGGAACTGGAGTAAGTAAGGAAGTGGAGTGGCTGGGACTCCAGCTGGCACCTCTGTGGGATGGCAGTGCTGCAGGTGGAGGATTAGACTGCTATGTTACTTTGCCAGCCCCTTATCCTCAAGTTCCTCCAGGACTGCAGCAATCCAAGAAGTGGCACTTATAGTTCCCAGGGAGGACTCTGAACTACCCATCTCTTGACAGCCTATTTTGGCTGCATATGTTATGGAGAAAATGGCACAATGGGGAACTACCTTGGTTCTCATCTCACATCAAAGAAATCCCATGTGAATAAACCAGGGAGCCAAGCAAGACACAATAAAGACAGAAGGCTCCTGTCACAGCAGTCAGGAGGAGGAACACCAAGAAAGGAAGGTCATAGCATCTGATTGAAGGGGAGCATTTTGGGAAAACAAAACAAAACAACACAGAAGAGCAGCTAACAATCAAGGGTAGAGACATAAACTCAAAGGGTCAGCATTGTAATCCCGGCTGGCTAGCTCAAACCAAAAAGCCACCCACAGGGAGCTTACTGCTTTCCAGATTTTATGCTAAAAATCCAGAAGGGAGGGAGCCTTGCCTCCTTGCTTTTCTCATGGTAAAGACTAGAAACTAGCTTCCATGGGTCTGGTGTGTTGTCCTTCTAAAGGAAGTTTCTGAATAGAGGCCATCTTGCACACTTTCAAAGAGACTCCTGGAATCAAGATGGTGGAATAGGATATGGACACATTTAAACGGACAGAGAAACATTTGATCAAGATGAAGCAGAGAGGGCACATTTCAGGAAATAGGAAAGGACAGAACAACAGCAGAGGGGTGCCTGGGAGTGAACTCATTTCTGATTCAGTGAAATGCAACAACGTGGCATTCTACAGGTCTGATGGCCAGCAGATCAAGAACTCTAGTAGGGGCATGTCTGGCGCCATTTTGTACACTGTGGCAAATGCTTTAGGACTGCATGGGACAATAGTGAACTGTGCATGTGCTGAGCTCACGAGAACTCACTGAGCATGGATTGCACTGGTCCTGCAGAAAAATAATACCAACTGTGGCATCATACGGGTCAAAATAGGTCCGTGTGGCACCCAGACCTATCATCCAACAGGTTCCAACAAGATAAGTGCCACCAACAACCTAACTATATAGGACACCTAGTGTCTCTCTAATCCTGGGACCTGCTCCAACCAAAAGTGGGAGAAAGGTTGCACAGACAACAGTGCAGCCTCAGCATGGTATCACAGGAGGTGGAGATTGGTGAGCCAGAAGTTGGGGCTACGGAGTTCTTGGTGGAAATCTGACATAAGAACCCAGACCTAGAACTAGCTGGAGGGAGTGGCACAATTAGCTGCAAGCAAAGAGTTGTGTACCAACTGCAATAAGTAATATGGAACTGTAGACCTGTGGGTGACACAGCTTAGAAACCTGCCCCCAAGAAGAAGGTTCTACTAACCAGAAGTACAATGACCAAGAGCAAAAGAAGAGGCAAAGGCACAATGAAAATTACTGAAAACTCCCCTGCAAAAGAGCAAAACCCTTTGCCAACCTCAGAGTTAACTAAGGAAGACATCGAGAAAATGGGGGACACGGAATTCAGAAAAGTCATTAGAAAGTTTCTGATCAACAATGAGAAGCACATACAAGAGTTCAAAGAATTTAAGGAAGCAATGAAGCAAATCAAGGCTGGCATATCAGAAATTAAGAACATAGTAGAGCAAATTACAAGTACAGTGGAGAGTCTCCAAAATAGAATGAAGCAAGCAGAGGAAAGAATCTCAGAATTGGCAGATATCTCCTGTCACCAGGGGGAAGCAAACAAAAAGCTGGACGCAGAGCTGGATCAGGCCAAAAAAAATATTCAAGAATTGAAAGACACTATTAAGAAGCCAAATATAAGTTATGGGAGTCCCAGAAGGTACAGAAAGAGAAGCTGAGTTTGCAAATGTATTTAAGGAAATAATAAAGGAAAATTTCCCTAATCTAGAGAAAGAATTGGGAAACTACATCCAGGAGGGGCACAGAACTCCCCAACAGGCTTGACCAAAAGCAATCTTCACCAAGACATATGATCATCAAGTTCTCTTCAATTGAACCTAAGGAAAAGAACCTTAAATGTGCACATGAAAAAAATCAATTGACATAGAAAGGAATGCCGATTAAACTCACAGGAAACTCTACAGTCAAGAAGAGAATGGAGTGACATATTCCAGATTCTAAAAGAAAAAATTGTCGGCCTAGGATAACATATCCAGCAAAGTTTTCTTTTGTCTTCGAAAATGAAATAAAATTCTTCCACAGTAAAGAAAAGCTAAAAGAATTTGCCTCTTCCAAACCTGCCCTACAAATGATACTTCAAGATGTTCTCTTGACAGAGAAGAGGAATAGCACCAAACAAAACCAAAGGCAAATGGGAAGAACATCCCAGTAAAATGACAACAGAAGTCTAAACCAATGAACAACCCGTTCCTAAAATGACAGGACCAAAGTGCCACCCGTACATATTAACCCTGAATGTAAATGGCTTAAGCTCAATCAAATGTCATAGATTAGTAGACTGCATTAAAAAACAAAACTCATCTATTTGTTGTCTAGAAGAGATATATTTCACCAACAAAGATCAGCAGAAATTACATCACATGGGTTTTGATGTTCTCAGTTAGTTTCATCTCTTCAAAACACTTTCTTCTAATTAAATTATTTAATGACTCATAGATCACACAGTAGCATCATTTTCTTCAAGAAGGTTCTTGATTTTCATTTCTTCAGCTACACGTTAGTCATTTAGTAGTATGTTACTCAACTTCTTGGTATTGTTAATTTTTTTTTAAGATTTATTTTTTATTTTTATTGGAAAGGCGGATATACAGAGAGGAGAGACAGAGAGGAAGATCTTCCGTCCGATGATTCACTCCCCAAGTGAGCGCAACAGTCGATGCCATGCCGATCCGGAGCCGGAGCCAGGAGCCTCTTCCTGGTCTCCCACTCTGGTGCAGGGACCCAAAGCTTTGGGCTGGATGGGAAGCGGGGCTGCTGGGATTAGAACCGGCGCCCATATGGGATCCCGGGCATGCAAGGCGAGGACCTTAACCACTTGCGCCACCGCGCCGGGGCCTGTATTGTTAATTTCTTTTTTCTTCCTGTGCTTGATTTTGTTTTGTGACTCTTCATTTAAGCGGATGTATAGTAGCTATGTAACAGAGACTGTTGTACCTAGTAACATGTTATTTAACTTCATGGCATTGTAAATTTCTATTTTTCTTACTGTTGTTGATTTTGTATTATGACTTTTCATTTGAGGGGATGTACAGTAACTGTGAAATGGAGACTAACATATCCAGATGTGAGGATACAATGCAGTATGCATTGCTACTTCCAGACAAAGATAGAATTTACAATGGAACTGTTTACTATATCTTGACAATAGGATGCTGGACTCTCTGCCATTGTCCATGCCCTCAATGATGGACATATGACTGTGTATGAAGAACTATACTTTAGTAATGATTTAGAGGAACTAGGCGGTGGAGGGAGGAGGGAATTGGGGCTGGGATAAGGGAAATACCAGGAGCCTATGAAACTGTATCATAAAATTATAATAATAAGAAGAAGATGTAAAAAAAAAAAAAACAAGCCAAAAAAAAATAGACTCCTCCTTTCACTCCAACAGGGATCTGACCTTAACTCCCCATTAACCATTTAACTATCACACTTTGATTGGCCCACCTGAGCACACAAGAAGCCAACACCAGGGCACTCAGCAGTGACCACCATGTCCTTTCTGGTGACAGTGGGACCTGCCAAGGAGTCACGCTTAGGAAGCAGCAGAGTCCAGCATAACCAAGGCCTTCAATCTCCAGTGCCACCCTCTAACTTAGCCTGACACCATGTGTCCTGCCCATGACTCCATGGACGCAAGAAAGTGCCACAGACCTAAACAAGGCGAATTATTTTCACAGTGGGAAGAGAAGTTGAAGGGCATCTTGATCAGAAACACAAAAACTCTTCCAGAAACGTGACTGGTCAGCCCTGGGCCACACTGCTACCCTTCAGCTTCCTGAGTGGCTACACAATCTAACCTTGAAAAAGTGGGAGAAGGGCCCGGGACGATAGCATAGCAGTTAAAGTCCTCACCTTGAACGCGCTGGGATCCCATATGGATGCCGGTTCTAATTCCACGGGTCCTGCTTCCCATCCAGCTCCCTGCCTGTGACCTGGGAAAGCAGGAGAGGACAGCCCAAAACTTTGGGACCCTACACCACTGTGGGAGATCTAGAAGACACTTCTGGCTCCTGGCTTCGGAATGGCTGCCGTTGCAGCCACTTGGAGAGTGAACCACTGGGTGGAAGCTTTTCCTCTCGGTCTCTCCTCCTCTCCGTGTATCTGCCTTTCCAATAAAAATAAATATTGTTTTAAAAAGTAGGAGAGGATTTCGTGAAGATCTTGAACTAACAGTGATCCCTCACTCCCACCCCTCCCGGGAGTGGGTTGGTCTTGCTCTGTGTCCCACAGTATCCTGAGCCCCCTTGTTACAGCAACAGCCACACTGTGCAGCCCCGCTCCCTGCAGGAACTCCCAAAGAGGTCCTACCTCTGTCTTGCAAAGTGCTTAACAAAGTGCCTTGTTCTCCAAGTGGCTATCACAGTCCCAGACTCTGAATGAAATCGGCACTCTGAACCTGTCCTGGATGGATGGCTAGATGGGTGATGAGTTATACCGGCCAATGGATGGCTCCACCCCGCAGCAGCCTCAGGCCCCAGTCGTCCTCTCCTGTCATTTCACTTTGCTAAAAGCCTTCACTTGAATTGTAAAATTGTAAGGCTCTAAACAAGATGGAAGAATCCACCATGGGGGGGGGGAGCGGGTTTTGGGGAGGGGAGGGGGGAATCCCAGTGCCTGTAAAACTGTGTCTCATGATGCAATGTAATAAAAAAAAAATAAATTAAAAAAAAAAAAAGCCTTCACTTCCCCGTGGAGTCATTTTGCCGGTCCCTCGGTGTTCTCGGGCGAGGCTAGTACTTTCCTTTTCTCCCGCCACTCAGCATCCAGCTGACTCTCAATCAAGGCCAGCAAACTGGGTGTGAACGGAAGGAGCCGCTCATTATTTGCCATTATTTACCTCTGCGAGCGTGCACTCCCATTCCTTTCCATACCCATTTTCTCGCGCGCACTCTCTCGCTCTCTTTCTCTCCTTGGGAACCGGTGCAGCCCCAGCGGATGTTCATCTGCATCTAGCCCTGAGAGAACCAGCAGGACCCTCGGGAGGAGGAAGAGCAGGCAGCGGCTGCGGCTGTGCCTGCGGCGGGCGGAGGTGCGGCAGCCACACGGTCCGGTCCGGGCACACGGCTGCGGCTGCGCCCGGGAAGCCCATGCCCGGCCCGTGCCGCCCGGGGCTTGCCCATGAAGCTGCTGCCGAGCTGGAGGAGGAAAACCCGGGGCTTCTCGTTGGGACTCTTCGCCCTCTGCCTGGCCACCGTCCGCAGCCTGCAAAGTAAGCACGGGGACCAGGGAGACCTGGGCGCGCACGGGGGTTGCAGGGTTGCGGGAGGTGACCTCGTCCGGTGGTGGGGCACGCGGGGAGCCCCACCGGAGACCCCGCACAGCCCGGGGAGCTGAGACACCCTGGCCCCGGCGCCCTGGGCCACCACGGGGCGCCCGCCAGCAGGCGAGCCCTGGCGGCGGTTATCGGAGACGGAAACTCGCGGGAGATAACCGGCTCCCCGCCTGCAGCCGCCGCCGCCTCTGCAGCAAAGGCTGCAGCCCCCGGAGAGCGCGCCGAGCCCGCCCCCTATCGTGGGGACGCCTCCGCCCTTCCGTGCGCCCGCAGGTTATCTGGGCTCTGCAGGCCTCCCCGGTTGGCCGTTAGGATGAACCCATGAGAGCCTGCTCGGGAAGAAGGGGATTCTGGGCTGTGCGATGGGCCTGAATCCCTCCAGCCGGAGAGGGTCCTCACCGCGTGCATCGCTTCAGGGCGTCTGGCTTTGATCATAAAGCAACAACTCCCATCAATATAAACACCAGAGTACTTTCTCATGTAATCATTGTCCTTACCGGGATTAGTCATCTGAGCTCTCGACAGAGTCGGGTAGGGCTAAAGGCGGAGCAGAGGCCCCATAGGAACCACTGCAGATATTCTGTGCTTTAGTGTTACCCATCCTGGAACTTTCTCAAAGTAAGAGACTCCTTACCATTTTTTTTTTTCTTCCTAACCTTGACAAATAAACATGTTTAGTGGGAGTCATGTATTTTACTACTTTTAAACAAATATGATTTATTTGGAGGCAGAGTTACAGAGAAAGGGGGAGGGATAGACAGAGCTCTTTTGCTGCTTAGTGCTGGAGTGGTCCAAAACCAGGAGCCAGAAGCTTCTCCCAGATCCTGTGGCTGCAGGGGCTCAAGCACTCTGGTCCATCTCTGTTACCTTCCCAGGCACATTAGCAGAGGGCTGGATCAGAAATGGAGCAGTTGAACTTGGACTCATGTCCTTGTGGGTTCTGGTGCTGCAGGCAGCAGCTTAAGTGGTTAAACCATAGCACCAGCACTGTATTTTACTGTTTATTTCAAAGACAAAACTCCCATCTGCAGGTTCAGTCCCCAGATCATGCAGTCAGCAAGCAGGGTGCTTGAAATGCCATTTGGGTCGGCTCCCAAATGTGCAGTAGTGACCCAAGTGTTTGAGCCACCACCCGCTCCTCCCAGGGCGTACATTTGCAAGAAGCTGGGACTCTGATTCATAAGGGATTTATGTATCTTAACAGCTAAGCCAACCACCACCCTGTAAGTGCTACTTTTTTTTTTTTAATTGCAAAGGCAGATTGACAGAGAGAAGGAGACAGAGAAAAAGATCTGTCCTCTGGATCACTCCCCAGGTGGCCACAACAGCTAGAGCAGAGCTGATCCGAAGCCAGGAGCGTCTTCTGGTTCTTTCACATGGGTGCAGGGTCCTAAAGCTTTGGGCCGTCCTCGACTGCTTTCCCAGGCCACAAGCAGGGAGGTGGATGGGAAGTGGAGCAGCTGGGACACAAACTGGCACCTATATGAGATCCCAGCACTTGCGAAGGGAGGACTTTAGCCACTGAGCCATCACACCAGGCCCGTAAATGCTACTCCTCTCCCTATTCATGAGTGGGGAAGCCCGGGCACAGAAGAGCTAAGTTCCTTGTGCAAGGTGATGGTCAGTCTGGGGAAACTGGGGTTCAGCAGCTCAGCACTCTCGGCGTTTCTAACTCTCTGGCTGGAGGTTGCAGGTCTCAGAAGGCCAGAAATGGGATGGGGCATGTTCCTCTGGTGCCTGTGGAGCCAGCAGTAGTCTTGCAAAAGGGTCAGTGTATCTCCTGTTGCAGTGGCCTTTTCCATAGTTTTCCAGACCCCAAGAACATCATTCTTAATATAGCTGTACACATGACAGTGATGTCCAGGAGCCTGCCATTCCCATAGTGTATAAAATCCTATTCACTCTCTTATTCAATGTACCCTCTCCTTATAGGAAGCAGACCTCAGTAGATATGGAAGATACTGTCGTTCACAGTTTTGTTTTATTTTTCTAGGAGCATGGAGCTTCTTTCAGGTCTCCCGTATGAACGCAGAGGCCCAAGCACTTGGACCATCATCCACTGCTTTCCTAGGTCATTAGCAGGGAGTTGGGCGGAAGTAGAGGAGCCAGAATTCGAACTGACACCAATATGGGATACCACCACTGAAGGTGGATGTCACAGTGCTGACCCCAGTTCACAATTATGATCTCAGTAAGCTTAAGTCTCATGGAGAAGACAAGCATGGGAACAAAGGTGCCAGCCTTGGAGTGGCAAGCCTTGGCAGCAGGGGACATCGCCCTCACTTGGCATAGCAGGTTAAGCCACTGCCTGCATATGGGTACCAGTTCACATCCTGGCAGGTCCACTTTCAAACCTGCTCCTTGCTAATATGCCTGGTAAAGCTAGAAAATTGCTTAGTGCTTGGGACCTGCCCCTCTATGGAAGATCTGTAAGAATCTCCCGGATCCTGGCTTTGGAGTGGCCCAGCTTCAGCCCACTTCGGCTACTCAGGCAGAAAGCCAGATGAAAGATATCTCTCCAGAGCCAGTGTGTTGGCTCAACTGGCTAATCCTCCACCTCCAAGCACAGGCATCTCATATGGGCTCTGGTTCATGTCCCAACTGTTCCTCTTCCTGTCCAACTCCCTGCTTGTGTCCTGGGAAAGCAGAGGAGGCTGTCCCTGCACCCACATAAGAGACCCCGAAGAAGCTTCTGGCTCCTGGTTTCAGATTGGCTCACTTCTGGCTGTTGCAGTCATTTGGGGAGCGAACCAGTAGATGGTAGATCTTTCTGTCTCTCCTTCTCTTAGAAAAATCTGCCTTTCCAAGGACAATCAATAAATCTTTAGGGAAAAAAAAGAGAGAAAGATATCTTGCTCTCTCTGTCTCTCTCCCTCTCTGACTCTGCCTTTCAAGTAAATACTAACAAACAAGAAGAACAAGAGAAAGTGAGAGTTCCCTTTTGGTCTCCGTCCCCACTCAGTGAAAAGGCGGCCATTGGCAAGCCAGGAATAGAGCCATCACCATACACTGAATCTACTTGTGCCTTGATCTTAGGTCTGTGGGAAATAAATGTCTGTGGTTTAGCTGCCCAGCACAGGAGATTCTGTTACAGCATCAAAGCCAAATGAGAAAGATACTGGAGACCGACAAAGTAGTAGCATAGTGGGTTTAGCTGGGTCTATGAGGCTAGCATCACATGTAGGCACTGGTTCGAGTCCCAGCTGCTCCATTTCAGTTCCAGCTCCCTGCTAATGTGCCCAGGAAAGCAGCAGAAGATGCCCCATGCACTTGCGTCCCTGCACCCATTTTGGAGACCCAACAGAAGGCAATGGCTCATAACTTTGGCCTGGCCCAGGCCTGGCCATTGAGGCTATCTGGGAAGTGAGTCACCAGATAGAAGCTATGGCTCTGTCTGTCCCTCGGTCTCTGTAACTCTGCCTTCCATATAAAAAGAAATCAGTCCTGAGAAATAGGGTGCAACTACAATAAATGTTAAAATGTGGGAGTGGCTTTGGAACTGGGTAACTGATAGAGGCTGGAGGAGTTTGGGAACATGTTCTAGAAGTGTGGATGTTATTCTGATGAGCTCTAGAAATGAGAAGCATGGTGACCTTGCTTTAACATGGCAAAGAACCTGGGTGGATTGTGTTTGTGTCCCAGTGCTGTGTCGGAAGCAGAATTTAGAAAGGATGAGCTCAGATTTTTAGCAGGAGAGATTTTTTTCAGCAAAATGCTGAAAGAAAAGATTGGTCCCCCTAACTTCTTATAGAATTCAAGAGAAATATATTGAACAAAGAGTTGTTAAGCAAAAAGGAACCATAACTTAAAGATCTGGAAAATTCTCTACCTGCCTATGTTGGCAGAAAATGAAAAAGCATGTTCAGAAGAGAGTGCCAAGGTGTGGCCCAGCAGCTTTTGATAAGATTAGTACAGGCGTGACCCTAGGCCCTGGTCAGCCACCCCTGCAGCAACACTCTCACCCTGAGCCGAAGGGGTGAGAAACAAGACCAAATGAAGGGAGGCTGGCAGCCTCAGAACAGCCCATGGGATGGGACTAAGGACGTCCCGGCTGGGAACATATGCACCATTCTTCAAGGCAACAGGGAATAAGCAAAAGGAGATGAGTGAGCAGCCGGGCTGCTCCCTCAGTGATGGGGTGAGGGGGTCACTGCCTTAGTTCCAATAGGCCAGACAGTGGCCTCTTGAGCCTTGGTGGGGACAAAGCCACCTGAGAGAGCTTTGTTCCACGCCAGAGTGTGTTCTGAAGGCCCACCAAGCAAAAGAGGATTATCTTCAAATGATAATATTCTGACCTAATTGTGTCTACCTTGCTTTGTTTGGACTTGCTTGGGATCCACCATCCTTTTCTGCCTTCAGATTTCTCCCTTTTGCAGTGGGAATGCCTTGTCCTAGCCTATCCCACCATTATATTTTAGAAGTGCCTAGCTCACATATAGTTACATGTCACTTCACACGAAGGATATGATTTTCTTGTTGTTTGGACATCTCAGTGTACTAAGATGGCTATGTCACCAAGCAATGTAATATTATAGAACAACCACTGTGTATACCTTCTCTGGGTATCGTGATGTGGTGTACAGGGTAGTGTCACATCTCCACAGCTAAAGATGTATGGTAAAGGATTGAATTGTACCTGGCTGAGGCTGTGATTGCTTAGATGAGATTTTATCCTTTAGCATGGGTAGTGAATGACTTACAATGTGGGATCTGATAAGAGACAGAGTTATCAATAGGGTGGACACAGGGTACAATGATGTGGACTGAATGTTTTTTCCCCACCAAATTCACACTTGGAGCCCCAGTTGCCAATGTGATGGCATTGGGAGGCAGTTGCACTTAGGAGATGGCATCGTACTAGGATCTTGTCCCTCAAAGGAGAAAGACCAGAGCTCAGTCTCTCTTCGCATGCATGGACATTGCAAGAAGGAGGCAGT